TGATCCTTAATGATCACCAGTGATCACCTATACCGTGATCCTTAGTGATCCTTAATGATCATCAGTGATCACCTATACCGTGATCCTAGTGATCCTTAATGATCACTATTGATCATTTGTGATCACGTGTCTTGGTAGTTGTGTAGCCCGTCGTAACATTATAATACAATAAAAGCAAGTACGGCGGTTTGGGCCGCTGTTTCCAAGGGGGTCCTTATCGATAAGGAATCCTAGGACAAGTGTCCTGAGGCCAATAGGAAATCACGTGATATGCTAGCTCTGCTAGCTGGCTAGCAGAGCTAGCACTCAAGGAAACGACGAGTATATAGTTAGGATAGTTTCACAGTTTAGGAGCTTCGTGCTCAACTTAGTTATCAATTAGTTTACCTACATCCTACTTGATCTAGTAACGACTTCACTTCCAAGTGAATACCAGTGATAAAGCCTTAACCCACAACTACCAACCAGATGAAACCTCAGGCAGCCGCTGCCTCCAGTACAGTATCGTTACAGAAATTTATTTAATTAGTTCGGGATTGTTGTTGAATTTTATATATAAGTGTGACGGAAACCCCTGCTTTCCTCCCATCCTTATTATATAAGAAACCTCATGTACATTAACCATGTCCACACATGATACGATTACTCGGGATTAGTATACGATTTAGTGTTACGAGGTTTGCCGTCTAGATCACGTGGAAGTGCTCCAGGCTCTCGAGGTGGTTTATAACTAGGCGTCAAGCAGGGACTTAAGTAATGACAATAATGATATGCAATTCGTAACTAATAGTAGAGTATACTAAATGATTGATCTTGAGCACGAAGCTCTATACAAAGGAAATCCATCTTGATTATATAGACCTTCGTGTTCTAGCTGATCAGTAGGATCAGTATGGCTCAGTACTGAGCTTGCTGATCCTCACTGAGTCAGTCACATGATATTGGTAACACGTGAGCGTCTTCTTGTTACCCGGCGTAACATTTAGGTGGTCTGAGGATCAGATCCGATACAGTACTTAGGTATCATTTGTTTATCGGTAAAGTAGATCATTGGAGGATAAATATGACTTCTTTTTGGCCT